TTAATAGATAACGACATACAGTTTGTTACAAGTTTAAAAGACCACAAAGCTTTATTTTTTCCCATTAATTGTAAGACTTCTGAGAATGCATTTTAATTGTGACAATTATTAGCAAGCTTGTTTTTTTTTATAATATAATTTTTGGATTCAAATAACATTGGTTATGTGACATGAATGGCTGAAAATAATTATCCTACCTGATCACATTTGATACCTGATTTGAACACAATTAGGTTGTATGCCACATATCCAATTCATCTGGGGAAAACACCAAGATGTGTTTTTTTTTTTTTGCTGCACATGTACACATTTATAAAGCCAGAGTTGTAATTTTATTTTAATACAGTAGGCCTATTGTACGTTTTGATATGTGTTTTAGTTTTCATGGTGATCAAGATGAGTCAATGAAGGAATTAACAAGCAATATGTCTGAAACTGATAAAAAAAAAAACATTTAAACCATTTAACTCTTAATACAGTAGCTACACCATCATATCTTAATTGACAAAGCAGTAGCTGTAATCTTAGGAAAACTCTTCCATGACTGACTCAAGGAAATTATCTGCATCTTAATTGCTTCAGATGAACTGGGGTATTTTCTAAGATCATGAACTTGAGAACTTGAAGAAAAAAAGAATAAACAAACATTAAAACAACTGTAACATTTGAAATAGGGTTTGTTTCAACAACCACAAGAATAACTGTTTGGGCTGTGGTGCTTCATTGTCAGTAGGTGGTGCTGATACACTTTATTGGCTTGCAATAGTAAATATGTGAATGCATTTTTTTTCCCGTGTGTGTTTAGTAAGATCCGAACAGACGGTTTAAATGGACGGGGAAAAAAGCGCCCTCCGCGAGATTCGTTGTTCACGTACGCTTTTTTCTCTTTCAAGAAGAAACCAAAAAATCAGGAGGGAATTTTGTTGAAGGAAGGTGGAAAATTCACTGAAAGACACATTTTCAGAAACAATGGAATTAATGGAAATGAAAAGGCGATGGATGGATGTATTGTTCTCCTTTTGTCTGTTTTTTCTCATCGTTACGAAATTTGAAGGAATCTCTGCACAAATCCGATATTCTATTCAAGAAGAACTGAGATCTGGGACCGCAGTTGGAAATGTAGCTAAAGATCTTGCGTTAGATTTAGGAAAACTGACAGAAAGAAATCTGCGCGTCATATCAGGAACAAAGCAGGATCTATTTAAGGTAAATTCGAGAGATGGTGTCTTATCAATAAACCAGAGAATAGACAGAGAAGAGTTATGCGCAAAAACTGTCCCATGTATTACCAACCTTAAAGTTGTTGTAGAAAATCCTCTCGAAATGCACCAGATAATAATTGAGATTCTCGATGTTAATGATAATTCGCCGAAATTTCCGGAGGAAAACTACACAATGGAGGTTTTAGAATCCGCGGTGATCGGTACTCGTTTTCAGGTCGAAGGAGCGCACGACTTGGATGTTGGTATAAACTCCATACATTCCTATAAGATGAATCATAATCAATATTTTCAACTGGATACAGAGGACTTTGGGGAGGAAGGAAAGGTTCCTTTTTTAGTACTTCAACGCCCTTTGGATAGAGAACAAACTCCTCAGCATTGGATGTTATTAACGGCGACAGATGGAGGTAAACCACCAAAATCAGGTACCATGAATATCACAATTAAACTATCTGATATAAATGATAACTCGCCCGTATGTGATCAACAAAAATACATCGTAACAATAACGGAAAACGCTCCCGTCGGAACGTTCCTGTTAGCAATAAACGCATCTGACTCTGATGAGGGTTTAAATGGTATGATTGAATACTCTTTAAGGAGTAAACATCCAGGCCCCACGTCTGATCTGTTTGATTTAAACAGCGAAACCGGGAAATTAACGGTGAAAGGGCAACTGAATTACGAGGACCGGCAAATATACGAGCTTAAAGTTCTGGCAGCAGACAAAGGTTCTGTTTCTCTCGCCACACAATGCATCGTTGTGGTTAAAGTGGAAGACGTAAACGACAACCCCCCGGAAATAGAAATAACGTCCCTTTCCAGTCGTATTCGAGAAGATGCAGCACCGGGAACAGTGGTTGCTTTGATGGGTGTGACTGATCTTGACTCAGGCGTGAACGGACAAGTGGTCTGTAGCTTATCAGATGATATACCGTTTGATCTAAAGCCATCACCTGATGGACAGTCATACTCTTTGATTACTAAGGATTATTTGGATAAGGAAAATACTCATATGTATAATATCAAAATAACGGCAAAAGATTTAGGAAGCCCTTCTCTGTCATCTATAAAACTGATACAGGTAGATGTCCTAGATGTGAATGACAACAGGCCCTTATTTACTGAAAGTCCTTACAGTTTCTATGTGCATGAAAATAACAAAGCTGGGCTTCCGGTTTTTTCAGTAACAGCCACTGACGCTGATGAAGGTGAAAATGCGGCAGTGTCATATTTTCTTGACCGTAAGAGTACGGGTTCATCTTTAACCTCCTTTTTGAATATAAACGAAGCCGATGGAACAGTATCAGCCTTAAAAAGTTTTGACTTTGAAAGTCTGAAAATGTTCCGGTTCCAGGTTATTGCCACTGATTCTGGGACTCCGCCACTGAGCAGCAACGTCACAGTGAACGTGTTCATTCTGGATCAGAACGACAACCCTCCTGTCATCCTGTATCCAGTCAGCTCTAACGGTTCTGCTGAAGGTGTGGAGGAGATTCCCCGCAATGTGAACGCAGGACACCTAGTAACTAAAGTCAGAGCCTATGATGCTGATATAGGATATAACGGCTGGTTGCTGTTTTCACTGCAGGAAGTTACTGACCACAGCCTCTTTGGTTTGGACCGCTACACAGGACAGATCCGAACACTTCGCTCATTCACAGAAACAGATGAAGCTGAGCATAAACTGGTCATACTGGTCAAAGACAATGGAAACGTTTCCCTCTCAGCAACAGCTACAGTCATTATCAAACTTGTGGAACCCAAAGAGGCTTTCGCAGCTTCTGATGTTAAAAGTGCAACACAAGATAATGAGGATAATAATGTTACTTTTTACCTGATGATCACTTTAGGTGCAGTTTCTGTTCTCTTTATCATCAGTATCGTTGTGTTGATTGCAATGCAGTGCTCCAAATCCACTGACTATACTTCTAAATATCTTCAAGAGACTAATTACGATGGAACACTATGTCACAGCATCCAGTACAGATCAGGAGACAAACGATACATGTTAGTTGGACCCAGGATGAGTATTGGATCAACTGTAGCACCTGGAAGTCATGCCAACACGCTTGTGCTACCTAACAGGACAGGAACATGTGAAAAGGTAAGACCATTTTTATTTTATTTTTTGTTTTTATTCTAAAAAAATATATCATTAAGATTCAGAACTGTAGAGATTTTGAAGATATGCTGTGATATTTAGGTTTGTTATAATTTAAGCGTTTAGCGGTTTAGGTTTACGCTGTCCATGGTGCTAGAATTGCACAAAGGTGAAATGACCCCTTGTGTTTCTGTTACATTAGAGAAACACACACACACACACACACACACACACACACACACACACACACACACACACACTTATATATATATATATATATATATATATATATATATATATATATATATATATATATATATATATATATATATATATATATATATATATATATATATATATATATATATATATATATATATATATATATATATATATATATATATATATATATATATAAAATATATATACAAGGGGAAATGTTACACTAAAGCTGCGCCGATGAGGGTTAAATGTTAAACCCCCAGGTAAAAAACAAAACAATAAGAAAAAGCCTCTAATGTTTCTGGGAAATGTAACATTTATCATGTATTGCAAAGAGTCAATTTGAGGCTGAAACAGAAACTCTACGAAGTTTCATTGAAGTAGAAAAGACATCAGGGATTTTCACCAGTTCAAAAGCTGAGCAGATCCGGCCAGCTGAGTTGTGATACAGCTCTAACATCAGCATAATTTCACTGAGACTAATAATTTCTTGTATTAATATGGTAAAACTGTGGCATCAGCTTCTAGCTTTATTAAAGCCCATACATTACTCAATTAAAAAGTCCAGCTTACCAGATGAAATTGGGAATACTTTTTATTCTTCGTATTTACGTAAGATTAGTTTTTTTGTTTTGCTTTTTTACCACAGAGAAGAAATACCACGTTTTCCCGCCTGTGCTAATGACTGTGATAGTTTGCTACCTTAAACCCGCTCATTTATACGTACACGTTCACATGCTAACGATCAGCCGAAGCTTCGTCGAGGTAGGAAATAGATAACCAGGTTCGTGGTACCGCTGATCCCGATTGTTATTGTTGTTTATTGGTTCAACTGGATAGGCTGGATTTAATCCGGCCACATTGAAACAAATGTCATTTTATTTCACAAGTGAAAAGAACAAAACAAAACTAATTGGCCATTTTAATGTTTGTAGTCTGAGCAAATGAAACCGGTACAGTGCAAATATGAGTTACCCAGTGAATGAAAGAATAAATAAATAAATACATAAAAAAAAAAATAATAAATACAAAGTAAATAAATAATAGAAGGAAGGAAGGAAGGAAGGAAGGAAGGAAGGAAGGAAGGAAGGAAGGAAGGCAATAGGCTCTGCTAAACTTATCTAATAATGATGTTTATTTTTCAAAGTTTTTCAGTAATTTCATGAATGTTATTATATATGTGATATAGAGCTTAGTTAATTTACAACAATCCAGTTTTAAACGACTATTATTGTTGATAGTATTTAGTGTTGGGTGAACACTCTTTTTTGTCCCCCAAAACAGTTATAAGATAATCATCACTATGGCCTTTCACATGTCTTTATTAAAGTGAAGGAAATATAAATCCTGTAATTGTGTTGTATCCAATCCCCGTTACCACTTGGTGTCAGTATGGCCTTGATAAATGTACTGTGCCTCATTTTAAAAGGCTCTGCCTAGCTTTTGTCGATTCATCAGCTAGAAGTGGTGTCTGAAGGAATATGCATCGCAGCAGATTTGACACAACCAAGAAAGGTCGATTTTACGCATAAAATATTTTAAGATGAAATTTAAGACATTTATTTAACTGGATCGAACTGAAGAAAACCCGATCACGTTTATCTACTAAGAAACCCGTCAAATGCTCGTTTCACAATGACAGGAGTGAGACAAAGACGCCGTCTGATCTGTTGGTGGATTCCTGGGATTTTGTTGCTCTGCTCTGTGGATATGATTTTGGCTCAGCTTAAATACTCTGTGCCTGAACATGTTAATGTAGGATCCTCTGTTGGAAATGTTGGCAAGGATTTAGGATTTGACATCAGCACTTTGAAAAGCAGACGACTCCGCATTGTATCTGGTCAGAATCCCTCTCTGTTTGAATTAAATCAGAACAATGGAGTGTTGCACGTCGCGCAAAATCTGGATCGGGAAGAACTCTGTGACGGAAAAAAGGTTTGTTTAATAAACCTTAAAATTGCTATAGAAAGCCCACTTGAAATACATTATGTCAGCGTAGAAGTAACTGATGTTAACGACCATTCGCCTTCTTTCCCCGAAACTGAGCAGCGGCTGGAAATAGCAGAGAATACTCCTCCCGACACTCGGTTCCAGATTCATGCAGCCAGGGATCCGGATTTTGGCATACAATCTGTTCGATTGTATAGGTTGAATCAAAATGAATATTTCGATATTGAAGTCAAGCAAAGTGAGGAGGACAAAATACCATTTTTGGTGCTTAAAAAGCCGTTAGATAGAGAACGCAAAGTAGAGCATAATTTAACATTAACTGCTCTAGATGGGGGAACACCACCCCGATCTGGAATTCTTAATTTAACTATAACTGTATTGGATGTAAATGATAACCGCCCTGTGTTCAGCAAAGACACCTATACTGTGTCTTTAAATGAAAATGCTCCACTCGGAACTATTGTAATTAAAGTAAACGCAACAGATTCAGACGATGGTACAAACGGTGAAATTGAGTACACATTTGGAAAAACGCAAAAGAAAAAAGTGTATGATATTTTTGAGCTAGATAGTTTAACTGGTGAAATTCGAGTGAAAGGGAAAGTGGACTACGAGGAGACGGAGATATATAAGTTAGATCTACAGGCTTCAGATAGAGGCCAACCACCATGGACAGGTGAGAGCCGAGTTATAATCAAATTAAATGATTTAAATGACAATAAACCCGAAATAGAAATAACATCACTGTCGAGTGAAATACCTGAGGATTCAAAGCCCGGCACTGTCATTTCGCTCATCAGTGTGATAGACAGAGACTCGGGTGTGAATGGAAAAGTAATTTGTAAAGTATCGGAAAATGTTCCATTCTATTTGACGTCATCTATTGAAGAGAAATGTGTACTCCTTAGTAACAAAGGAGACTTTAGATAGAGAAGCTGGAATCTCATTATACCATCACGTTAACTGCCACAGACTGTGGAGAACCCAGACGTTCAGCGGTGAAGACATTAGAAATTCAGGTGTCAGATATAAATGACAACAAGCCAGTGTTCAGTCAGAATCCATTTGAAATATATCTAGTTGAAAACAACGCTCCAGGGGCGTCAATATTTTCGATAAGAGCCTCTGATAAGGACGTAAACGAAAATGCGGTAATAACATACAACATTGGGAAAGGCGACGGGGTTAGTGGTGATATGGTGCCTTTTCTTAACATCCATTCGGAAAACGGAGAAATATTTGCGCTAAAAAGTTTCGATTTTGAAAGTCTGAAAACTTTCCAGTTCAAAGTTATTGCAACTGATTCTGGGACTCCTTCACTGAGCAGCAACGTCACAGTAAACGTGTTCATTCTGGATCAGAACGACAATACACCAGTTATCCTGTATCCAGTCAGCTCTAACGGTTCTGCTGAAGGTGTGGAGGAGATTCCCCGCAATGTGAACGCAGGACACTTGGTGACTAAAGTCAGAGCCTATGATGCTGATATAGGATATAACGGCTGGTTGCTGTTTTCACTGCAGGAAGTTACTGACCACAGCCTATTTGGTTTGGACCGCTACACAGGACAGATACGAACACTTCGCTCATTCACAGAGACAGATGAGGCTGAGCATAAATTGGTCATACTGGTTAAAGACAATGGCAACATTTCTCTCTCAGCAACAGCCACTGTGATTGTCAAACTTGTTGAACCAAAAGAAGCTTTTTCAGCTTCTGATGATAAAAGAGCAACAGAGAATGAGGAGGATAACAATATGATTTTTTACCTGATTATCACCTTGGGCTCAGTGTCAGTTCTCTTTATCATCAGTATCATCATTCTTATTGCAATGCAGTGCTCCAAAACCACCGACTATTCTTCTAAATATCTTCAAGAAACGAATTACGATGGGACACTGTGTCACAGCATCCAGTACAGATCTGGAGACAAACGATACATGTTAGTTGGACCCAGGATGAGTATAGGATCTACTATAGTACCTGGAAGTCATGCAAATACATTGGTCCTACCTGACAGGAGGAAAACGTCTATAGAGGTAAGGATTTATCTTTTAAGTTTTTTGTCAACAAGATGTTGCAACAGTCTCATTGTTTATTTATTCTTTTTTTGTGGTACCGAGATGTACATATTTTTTTGCTATTTTGTGGAGTAATCCACCAAACTTTGAACATCTAAGGTCAATTTTTCTGCATCTGAATTGTAGATTGCTCATTAACGTATGATGTATGAGACACTGTATGTTTTTTTTCCAACATTTATGCATACCTTCTTTCTGTTCAATTGCAATTTTTATTCAATTAATAGATGACAATAATTTGAATTACCTAGTTTTTATACATTCAATTTAAAACGATTAACCAACAGGGTCACAAATACAGATAAAGTGATGAACAATAACCCAAAAATATGTATCAGTCTGAATTTCTGATAATAAAACCTATCTATCTATCTATCTATCTATCTATCTATCTATCTATCTATCTATCTATCTATCTATCTATCTATCTATCTATCTATCTATCTATCTATCTATCTATCTATCTATCTATCTATCTATCTATCTATCTATCTATCTATCTATCTATCTATCTATCTATCTATCTATCTATCTATCTATCTATCTATCTATCTATCTATCTATCTATCTATCTATCTATCTATCTATCTATCTATCTATCTATCTATCTATCTATCTATCTATCTATCTATCTATCTATCTATCTATCTATCTATCTATCTATCTATCTATCTATCTATCTATCTATCTATCTATCTATCTATCTATCTATCTATCTATCTATCTATCTATCTATCTATCTATCTATCTATCTATCTATCTATCTATCTATCTATCTATCTATCTATCTATCTATCTATCTATCTATCTATCTATCTATCTATCTATCTATATATCTATCTATCTATCTATCTATCTATCTACAGTATCTATCTATCTATCTATCTATCTATCTATCTATCTATCTATCTATCTATCTATCTATCTATCTATCTATCTATCTATCTATCTATCTATCTATCTATCTATCTATCTATCTATCTATCTATCTATCTATCTATCTATCTATCTATCTATCCATCCATCCATCCATCCATCCATCCATCCATCCATCCATCCATCCATCCATCCATCCATCCATCCATCCATCCATCTATCTATCCATCTATCTATCTATCTATCTATCTATCTATCTATCTATCTATCTATCTATCTATCTATCTATCTATCTATCTATCTATCTATCTATCTATCTATCTATCTATCTATCTATCTATCTATCTATCTATCTATCTATCTATCTATCTATCTATCTATCTATCTATCTATCTATCTATCTATCTATCTATCTATCTATCTATCTATCTATCTATCTATCTATCTATCTATCTATCTACAGTATCTATCTACAGTATCTATCTATCTATCTATCTATCTATCTATCTATCTATCTATCTATCTATCTATCTATCTATCTATCTATCTATCTATCTATCTATCTATCTATCTATCTATCTATCTATCTATCTATCTATCTATCTATCTATCTATCTATCTATCTATCTATCTATCTATCTATCTATCTATCTATCTATCTATCTATCTATCTATCTATCTATCTATCTATCTATCTATCTATCTATCTATCTATCTATCTATCTATCTATCTATCTATCTATCTATCTATCTATCTATCTATCTATCTATCTATCTATCTATCTATCTATCTATCTATCTATCTATCTATCTATCTATCTATCTATCTATCTATCTATCTATCTATCTATCTATCTATCTATCTATCTATCTATCTATCTATCTATCTATCTATCTATCTATCTATCTATCTATCTATCTATCTATCTATCTATCTATCTATCTATCTATCTATCTATCTATCTATCTATCTATCTATCTATCTATCTATCTATCTATCTATCTATCTATCTATCTATCTATCTATCTATCTATCTATCTATCTATCTATCTATCTATCTATCTATCTATCTATCTATCTATCTATCTATCTATCTATCTATCTATCTATCTATCGCTTATTATGCTTAGTTAAAGCGACGGAACGGTTTATTCAGTATATTCCCGTGATGAACTGTTTGGTTATCACTCCACAAGGTGTCAGCATCATACCGAGCTTGATTGTTGGGTTAGTGCGTTGGCCCTGCCCATAGCAAAATACTCCCTATCGGGTGACTGAGAAATTACGTTGTCTTTGGATAAAGATACACTTCTTCATCTCATCTAAACCGACACTAACATTTTTCAGGGGAATACGTCACAACTAAGAACATATGTCTATGTTACGAACTGTGAGTGTTTTTTGTTTTTATTATTGATATTGTTAGTCGGGAACGAAACAATGGGGGTAAAAGGACAAAGCGGAGCAAGGAGGTATTTCTGGACGGCTCTCAGTTTTTCTGTGATGCTCTGCGTGCAGCGGATTTCGGCGCAGATGAAATATTCAATTCCAGAAGAAACGAATGTAGGATCCGTTGTTGGAAATATTGTAAAGGACCTTGGTTTGGACATTTCTACGTTAGTGGAGAGGCAGTTCCGTATTGTTTCAGGATCGGATGTTGTTCAGTTCAAAGTAAATCCCAACAGTGGCGCTCTGTATGTGCAGGAAAGACTGGATAGAGAGGTTCTCTGTGAGAGGATTTTCCCGTGTATGATAACCCTGAAAATGGTGGCAGACAAGCCGATGGAAATGCACTACGTTGGAGTCGAAATCACTGACGTAAATGATAATTCACCGACCTTTCAGGAGAAACAAAAGATACTTGAAATTCCAGAGTCAACTCCGCCAGGCAGACGTTTCCAGTTACCGACTGCCCATGATCCAGATGTCGCTCAAAATACGGTGCGTGTTTACAAACTAACCCATAATGATCATTTTAGTTTACAAATTCGAGAAAGAGGAGAGGATAAGATACCGTTTTTAGTTCTGCAAAAATCCCTTGATCGAGAAAAAAATGCCGAGCATAACCTGATTCTGACGGCACTAGATGGTGGAAATCCTCCAAGATCAGGAACTCTAAATATTACAATAATAGTCCTTGATTCAAACGATAACCACCCCACATTCAGTCAGGAAGTGTACTCAGTGACAATTTCAGAAAATACAAAGGTAGGCACCAGTGTTATTACAGTCAATGCAACTGATCTAGATGAAGGTGTGAATGGAGAAATTGAATATACGTTTGGTGGTGAACTTGAGCCCAAAATATATGAAACGTTTAGCCTAGATAAAGTCACTGGTGAAATTAGAGTAGAAGGAACAATTGATTTTGAAGAAGTGGGTGTATTTAAATTAGATGTCCAGGCATCTGACAAAGGACATCCACCAATGAGTAGTGATTGTAGGGTGATTATAAAAGTCTATGATGAAAATGACAATAGACCTGAAATAGAGGTGACATCTCATTCTAAGCAGGTTTCAGAGAGCTCCAAACCTGGTACTTTGGTTTCTTTAATCAGTGTTACAGACAAGGACTCGGGTTTAAATGGAAAAGTAATGTGTAGTCTGTCAGATAACATACCATTTGAGTTAAAACCATCATTTCAAGAGAATATGTACTCTTTAGTTTTAAAACAACATCTGGATCGAGAGGCTGTTTCTCATTATGATATAACCATAACAGCTACAGACTGTGGTCAGCCTCCTCTAGCTACCTCTAAAACTATAAGTATTGATGTTTCAGATATAAATGATAATGCACCAGAATTTGCATATAATCCAGTTGAGATTTATATATATGAAAACAATGCTCCTGGAAACTCCATATTTTCTGTTTTTGCTTCCGATAAAGACTTGGACGAAAATGCAGCTATAAAATATAATTTGGTCAGAGAGGAAGGCAAAGTGTCAAAAACATCTGCGTTTTTAAGCATTAACTCGGAAAATGGACAAATATCTGCCCTTAGGAGTTTTGATTTTGAAAGTGTAAAAACCTTCCAATTCCAAGTTGTTGCCACCGATTCAGGGACTCCATCATTGAGCAGCAATGTCACAGTGAATGTGTTCATTCTGGATCA